GTTGCACACACACCCTTGGGCTCAGGGGTACTGGAAGGATGAAACCAAAGTCTTACAAACACCTGTCTCTCAGTAGTGAGGAGCCTGGCTAAGGATAGACTGCCTAAGTTAATCCTGGTTCTGGCCAGCGGCAATGAACTTAACCTGTTTATGCTTTTTTTTTTTTGGTCAGTTGTGGGGCTTGAACTCAGGGCCTGGGTGCTATCCCTGAGCCTTCTTGTGTTCAAAGCTAGCACTCCCTTCCTCCAGGGTGTGAACCTATATGTGAAGAACCTGGATGACTCCATCACTGATGAGAAGCTGAGGAAAGTGTTCTCTCCCTACGGAGTGATTACCAGTGCCAAGGTGAGGGACCAATCTAGGGAGCAAGTCTTCCCTTCATCCTCTTACTGCCTCTCTGAGAACCCCAGCCTCTTGCCTGGCTTCTGGAGAATTTGTGGCTGAGCTCCCCTTAGGGACTTTGCCTTACGCCCTTGGAGCTTGCAGTACATCTGCAGCCTTGTCTTGGTTGGTAGGGAAGTAGATACAATCCAGTTATAGAACTGGACCCAGGATATACTGTAATGTTGGTTCATTTAATAAGCATTTATTGAGTGCCTACTGTATACCAGCTTGCAGAAATCTATGCATCAATATTTCCATGGACTTTTGCTATCTGGTCTTGGCCAGTAACAAATCCCTTCTGGGCCTCAGTTTCCCCATCAAAATTTGATTGCGTTACTCTTATTTGTCCACAGTGGTTATTCCCAACCCTGAGGCACCTAAGATGAGATAATGGTTTTCTACTCAATAAAATGACCCTGCTAGAGTATTAGCTTTGCAGCTTCATTTGTGTTAGGCTTACTTTTTATTTTTATTTTTGCCAGTCCTGGGGCTTGAACTCAGGGCCTCAGCACTGTCCCTAAGAGTCTTTTGTTCAAGGATAGCACTCTACCACTTGAGCCACAGCACCACTTCTGGCTTGTTCTGTTTATGTGATACTGAGGAATCAAACTCAGCCCAGGCAGACACATCTGCAGATGTGTCTGATAAATGTTCCTGCCTGGGCTGGCTTTGAACCTTGATCCTCAGATCTCAGCTTCCTGAGTAGCTAGGATTATAGGCATGAGCCACCAGAACCTGGCTAACTGTATTGTTTTTGCTACATTACATTTCAACTAATTGAAATACAATCCTACCAGGTATACCTATAATCAGCAACTCTAGAGGCCTCTAAGATAGGGGAGATTGTGTTTTGAGGCCAGCTTGAGCAAAAGTTCAAAAGAACCCCATCTTAACCTCTAAAAACTGAGTCTAGTGGTGTACACCTGTTATTCCAGCTAGGTGGGAAATGTAAATAGGAGGATCGTGATCTAGGCTGGTCCAGGCAAAAAGCAACCCTATTTCAAAACCAGTGAAAGCTAAAAGGGCTAGCAATGTGGCTGAAGTGGTAGAGTAATTGTGTAGCAAGTACAAGGCCCTGAGTTCAAATCCTAGTGCTTCCCCAAACAAAACAAAGAAATATAACATCATAATTCAAAAGTGATAGTATGTGCTTCATTACTAATGCATTGAACTAAAACATATCAAAGTGGCAATTAGCATAAAAATGATATTTAAAGCTAATGATATAACATGGAAATATTTGATTTCTCTTCTTGATAAATACTGCTGCTTCCTTTTTTTCCTCCTTTCCATATTTGTACTAAAAGGGAGTGCTCATGTGAAAATAAAGATGTCAGTTTTGCCCATCTAAGTCCACAGACCCTCAATTCTATCCTTTGTAGTCTGTGGGTCCTCAGCTATAGTGAGCACTGGTTGAGAGTCACTGTGATGGAAAGTTCAAGAGATCTAGTCCTCACAGAACATCACCCTAAAAGAGGTTCAGAATACAATGTGGATCTGATCCTGGATGAGAAAAGAGAACATTAATCCAAAGGGTGACAATTGAATGAAGGCTGGAATCCAGAGAGAGCCATATCCAGTGATGAGGAGCTAGTATTTTAAGAGCATTGTGTCAGGGCTAAGGTACCATCAATGACAGATAATACCCCTAGTTAACATTAGGGGTGGCTGAGTAAAAGCTACACAGCTATTCTTACTGTTTTTGTAACTTTTCTGAGTCCTCTGGCCCTGTGCCTTGCTGAGGCCCTAGCACACTGTGACAAATGCCATTGTAGGCCCTGGTATGTATGAGCCACATGGGTGACCCTGGATGTCAGTCCTGTATCTTTTCTTTCTTTTACTGGGAAGTATGACCCGCAGGCATGTGAAGCTTCTGGTACACAGTAGGCCTCAGTAAGTGTGGGGTGGATGGTTTGTCTGTTAAAAGGCTTCTTGTGGAGGCCTACTGGGTGCTGGGCAGGGGAGGAGGGGAGCATGGCCCAGAAGTTTGCCACCCCCAGCAACCCTTGTCTTGTCTTGCTTTTAGGTGATGACAGAGGGTAGCCACAGCAAGGGGTTTGGCTTTGTGTGTTTTTCCTCTCCAGAAGAGGCGACAAAGGCCGTGACAGAGATGAATGGACGCATCGTGGGCACCAAGCCACTGTATGTGGCACTGGCCCAACGCAAAGAGGAGAGGAAGGCCATCCTGACCAACCAGTACATCCAGCGCCTCTCCACCATACAGGCCCTGGACCGCTCCCTTTTAGGGTCCTTTCAGCAGCCCAGCTACTTTCTGCCCGCTGTGCCCCAGGTGACAGTTTGCCCACAGCTCCTGCCACGACCTTTCCCCCACGACAGCCAGGAAGAGCAGGAAGATAGAGTTTCACAGGCCAATGTAGGCTCTGCTGAACATTCCTAAGGCAGGCCGTTCCAAGCTCTTAACTTTCCTCATCTGGAAATGGTGTCAGTCTTGGTGAGATTCCTGAATGGTATTAAGAAAAAGACTGTAGTTAAATAAGTTTGGGAGATGTGGGATTAAACGAAAGCAGCCAACATTTTTTTTTTAAACCGTATGCACTGTCCATCCTAACATGCTCCTGTCTAGTATGGAGCTCCCAATGAGTGTAGAGCTGGTGGCATTTCCTCAGCTTAGATGCTACTAACAATTCCCCTGGCAATTCATGTTCTAATGAACATGGTTTCTTTAGGAAAGGCCTCCTGTGACTTGGGAGAAGTAGAAAGATAGACCATTGTAGGCCACCCGGCTGGTAATGTTCCCTCCCTTTCTAGCTGTTCCTAAGCTCAGCACATATTGGGGTACAGTGATACTTTTTGTTTCTTTTTATCTAGGTCATTGCGCTAGACCTGCTAAGGACCAAGGGTTGAAAATCTGTCTTTCTCTAAGGGGTTCGAGGCTAATGAGAATTTATGAGATGGGAGGAAGGAGCCTTTCCTGTTGGCTTTATTTATTAATCCTGTTCTTTGGAAGGGCTTGGTAGTTCTTGCTGTGGTCATCCCTGAGTGGATGCAGGGTGCCCCCTGCTCCCCTGCCAACTTCCTCATTCTAGGTCCTCCTCTCCCACGCAGCCTCCAGCCCAGGCGGCATATTATGGCTCTAGCTCCATGACCCCTATCCAGGCTACCCACAGGTGGACGGCCCAGCCACAGAGACCTTCATGTGAGTCACCCAAGCCCCTTCTGCCCTCAGCCCCGAGAGGCAGTAGCACAAGAGTCAAAGCTGGCTTTGCCACTTCCCAGCATTGACCACTTTGCCTCTCTTCCTAATTTGGATTTGAATATCTTGTGAAGCTGCAGGCACTGTGGGGAGCCCACAAGAGATGTGCACTGTGGCCATTATCGGTTGACTCCGGACTGGAAAGTCTTACAAAACAGAGAAAGTAACACTCCTTGGTATTGCAATTCACAATCACTTAAAACTCTTGAGGCCAAGGTGAATGATCAGGGTACTTCGGCGCCTTGGGGCTCTGGGTACACACGAGTTATTTTTGTCATTTGTAGATTTACATCCCTCCCCCCTCCCTCTGGGACCTTTAGGGCAGCATACAACCCTGTTTACCTCTTGTCCCCCACCTTTTCTCCATTTTTATGTCACAAGTTGTCTGCCCTCCAGCTGCCTCAGTGGTCCAGCCACCAGGCACGCTTCAGCGCTCCCGGGCCCAAGTCAGCAGTGCCAGGCGGGCATCTGCCCAGGTTCCACGCCCAGTGCCCCACACCCAGAGAGTGGGTGAGTGTGGGTGGGACCAAAGGAATTGGGATGTGAGGAGGGTGAAGCAAGGTCTGGGTGTCTCCAGGGTTGACCCTAGAGGAAGAGAGTTACAACTGACCTCTACAATGACCTTCCTTGCTCTCTTGGTGAGCTAAACCAGCTTTGGAGGTGGTGTGTGTAGTGTAGCAGTTGGTTTGACCTCTAACTCCTGGGACTTCACTCACTCTGTAACCCTTGCAGACTATTTCTGATTGCCTAATCCTTACAGTGAAAAAAAAAAAAAAAGAATATGTCCAATTGGTTGTGAGGATTAGTGAATTCACTTAGCCTTAGTTAAGTATTGCAACTGTTGTTGACAAGGGGTATGCCCTGCAAGGCAAGCACATCTGTTGTCACCCAGTGGATCTTCACATCTGTGTGCTGGGGATTCTGCATGAGTCAGTCAGTCCTTGGCCTTGGTTGCGATCAGTCCCTGACATTCATGATTATTAATTGTGGTAAAATACACCTAAAATTTACTCTAAGCTATTTTTTGAGGTGCACACAGCTCAATAGCATGCATTCTCTCCCCATCATTCATCTCTAGAACTTGGTCTTTGCAGAACTGAAATTCTGTACCCATTAAGCCAGAACTCCGCACCCCGTAGCCACTAGCAACCACCATTCTACTTTGCATCTGTGACTCTCACTGCAGTAGTTTACTTCATATAGTTGGAATCATACAGAATTTGTCCATCTTTTTTTTTTTTTTTTCTAGTCCTTGGGTTTGAACTTAGGGCCTAGGCCGTGCCCCTGAATTTTATTCAAGGCTAGCACTCTACCACTTGAACCACAGTGCCACTTTCAGCTTTTTCTGTTTATGTAGTCCTGAGGAATCAAACCCAGGGTTTCATGCATGTTAGGCAAGCACTGTACCACTAAGCCATATTCCCAGCCCAGGATTTGTCCTTCTGTGACTGGCTTATTTCACTTAGCACAATGTCCTTAAGATTCATTTATGCTGTAGCACATCAAGTTGAATAATCTGTTGTCTGTATGAACCAATTTTGTTCGTCCATCTGTGGATGGAACAACAACATTTGGGTTGCTTCCTGTAGACTACGGTAAATCCTACAACTTTGAGCCTGGTGTATTTCAGTTCTTGGCTTTCAATTCATTAACCAGAAATGGAATAGATAATGCAGTAGTTCAGTTTGTGTGTATATGTGTGTGTGTGTGCACACACGCATGCGTGCGTGCATGCTGGTAGTTGGATTTGAATTCCTAGTCTGGGCGTTGTCCCTTTACCTTCTTTTCTCAAGGCTGGTACTCTACCACCTGGGCCAAGCTCAGGTTTTAATTTGGAGCGTTTAATCAGAAATAAGGAGAGTCTTATGGACTTTCTTGCTCAGGCTGGCTTTGAACTTTGATTCTCAAGATATCAGCCTCCTGAATTCCAGATGTGATGTTATTTTTTTTTTTTTTCCAGCCAACATTGGAACCCAGACCACAGGCTCTAGCAGAACAGGCTGTTGTACACCAGGCCGGTCTCTCCTGCCATACAAATGTTCCTCAGCTATGCACAATGCCTGTGGGGTAAGGCTACCTGCTTCTTCTGGCTTTTGGGGGATCATGGCTTAGAGCTTTAGCTAAGGTGTTGGTTCTCTGGGCCTTGCTTTTCTCTATTTTCTTGGCTTGTAAAGCTTTGGTTAAGTCAGGAAGAGATCACACTTACAGAAGGAAAAAGAGCCAGTGTCACATTTCAGTTACTAACTTTTTGCTTTGCCTAAGTTATTACCAAAATTAATTTGAACTTCCCTAGTATTTATTGAGCATCAAAGAAAGGTGTTCTAAGAATATGCTGAGTATTAGACGTGATTAATGTTCAAAACAGAACAAAAAAATCCCCACTGGAATAAAATGAAAGGCTACATAGAACCAAAAATTCCCGTTGGAATAAAATGAAAGGTGGTTATATTTTTATCTTCTTGCCCCCCAAAAAGGTCTCAAACTGTCTGCACTGTCATACAGTCTAGTATTTCAATGTACCTAGTTTGAACTGTTTCTTTTCCTTCTTTCCTTCCAGCTGGTTGTGAACACCAGAGATAAGTGGGTAGAGCTGCTCCCGTGTGAGCCACCTACAAGTTAATGGCTTAATGAACCTGTTACACCCCCGTGTATCTGGAAAAAGTGCTTTATTGAGCACAAAATGATGAGCAATACATGGCTTTCATTTGGCAATGCTCATCCAAGGCCTTTATAGGTTCAAAATACACTTAAATTAGTATTCTAACCCATGCTATCCTACTTGATTGACCAGACCTAGATCCCTGCTCCTCCAGAGCCTTCCTTCCTGGAGGCTTTGTTCATCTGACAGCATCATTTGAGGTCTTTTCAATCCATGTAGTTAAAAGAGGTGTCCCTGGCACCCTATGCAGGTCCAGGAGCCTGCTGTGTATGTCCCTGGCCAGGAGCCCCTGACTGCGTCCATGCTGGCTGCAGCGCCCCTGCATGAGCAAAAGCAGATGATTGGTGAGTGGGCTGGCTCTCCTACATGGGGACAAGAGGAGGAGGGCGGGGAGCTGGCTGACTTTCCAGGAGCACCCTGAGGTGAGGACAAGCCAGCTCTGTCTCTTGATGGAGCTGCTGGGTGACTTTCCCCATGTTCCTTCTACTGCATAGGCTACTGTCCTCCTGTCTTTAAATACTGGCTAGACCAATAGTTCCAAGGCTTTTCCCAGCTCTGCTGTTCTGATTCTAACATAGATGGGAGAGGTCAGGGCCAGGAGGAATCTGTGGCCTTGAGTTTCTGCTAGGAAATGGCCTAGAGGTGGGAAATAGTTTGAACTGGGTTTTTAAGTTCCAGTGGTTTCCAGTGGACTCTGAACCCCCACTGGGCATGTTCATCTTCAGTTCAAGTCTGTGATACGTCTTGCCACTAACGGAATGAGCAGGTTTGCCTGCTGGCAGGTTGGCCACTCTGATGGCCATCAGCTCTCCAGAATCTCCACTGCCAGTCTTCATTTATTTCCCCCACCTTAGTTATTAGGTTTGGTCACTTCAACACTAGAGAAAAAAATGGAAATATGCTTAACAAAGGCTTTTGCAATTCTCCACGAATACCTTCCTCATGCATAGACTCTTCCCCTTGAAGAGTTCATTTTAGCAGGCCCTTTGTACATTGCTGAGATGGGTTGACACCAACACTGGGCATGGTTGCTAGAAATACTGATGGTAGAAAGTGAATCTATTCCATGTTTGTCTCTTCATCCCTCCACACAATCTCATGTTCAGTGTTATATCCTGCCTAGAATCTAAGTGTCCAGTGAGAACTGTTTCTTGCAAATGAACAAATGTAGTCTTTTAAACAGCAACTGACATTGTGTTGCAGATCACTTTACACATAATAGCAAATTTGATTCTTCAAACTGCCCTCTGAGAACCCAGATAGGTCCACAGCCCAACTCCAGGTACTACTCCCCAGACATGAGGACGAAACTTAGGTGTGTGCGTTAAGCCATCAACTTGTAGGTTGTTCACGCAGGGGAGCGACTCTACCCCCTCATCTATGATGTTCATAACCAGCTGGCTGGCAAAATCACGGGCATGCTGCTGGAGATCGACAATTCGGAGCTGCTGCTTATGCTGGAGTCTCCAGAGTCCCTCAAGGCCAAGGTCGGTGGAGAATGGGCAGCCTGACAGCTAAGGACAAGAGTGTCTAGGAGATGAGCCAGGCAGTGACACATGCCTGCAATCTCAGCTACTCAGGAGGCTGAGATCTGAGGATCACAGTTTGAAGGCAACTTAGGTAGGGAAGTCCATGAGACTCTTATCTCCAATTAACCACCAAAAAGGCAGAAATGGAGCTGCGGCTTAAGTGGTAGAGCACTAGCCTTAAGCAAAATGAAGCTCAGAGACAATACCCAGTCCCTGAATTCAAGACAAAAAAAAGTGTTTAGGACAATTGAATTTGATCTTGCTGACTTCTCTTTTTATGCCAGTCCTAGGCCCAACTCAGGGCCTGGGTGTACTCTTCTAAAGTTTTCTTTTTGTTTTTTGTTCAAGGCTAGCACGCTATCACTTGAAGCACAGCTCCACTTCTGGTTTTTCGGTAGTTAAAGTGAAAATAAGAGTTTCAGTCTTTCCTGCCTGGGCTGGCCTTGATCCTCAATCCTCAGATCTTAGCCTCTTAAGTAGCTAGGATTACAGGGTGAGCCACCAGTGCCCACCTAATCGTGCTGAACCCCTGAGTAGGAGGGCCTTCATTAAGGGTTTACTAATGCAGTCACTGCACCGGCAAGGTCTGGAATAAGGAGCTGATTTCCCCAGTGTACCTCTATCTTGAGAACATGAAATGGGCCATGGGATCTTGTAAGCAGCAGTGGAAGACTCCACAAATCCTTCATCAAGTTACGATGGGGGGAGGTCACAGCTCTCAAGCTTCTGTGGGGGCAGCTGCACTAAGTTTTTCCCACTTGTGTCTCACAGATTGAAGAGGCGGTGGCAGTCCTGCACACGCACCAGGCCATGGAGCCACTAAAGGCATACACAAACTGAAAACAGGTTGACTGGGAGTGAGGAACTGGGACAGAACAGCTGAATCCAGCAGCTGTAGAGAAATGGCCAAAGGCTGCCTCTCAGAAGCTTATTGCTGGCTTTGAAGTGCCAAGGAGGTGAGGGACACTGAGGCTTATAGACGATACACCGACCTATGACTACAATGGTAGTGAAGGAGCTCTTGTGCCCTCTCCGCTGCCTGGCGTCATGCAGAATGGGTTGGGCTTCCCCTGGGAACTGTCTGGTTCTATTCCGAAGGCCTGGCCTAGACCACTGCTTACCTTCTTACCCGAAGACTGGGTGTCTCCCATACTTTAGAAGTATGTATTCCCCTCCTCTCCTTTTCACTCTCAGAAAATGGAACCCTAACTTCCCTGGCTGCTACAAGTACAGCATTTCCTGATCACAGCTCTAAGGCCCTGAAAATGATAACTTATTTCCTCATTGTTCTGTATCTGTACTTGAGCTTGGGCTATGGAAGGTAGGCTACTTTCCCACTGACCACTTTTTGCTTTGTGTATTAAAAGTGCTGCAAAATCTATCTTACCTCCTAAAAGGCTTTCTTGTGCCACAGGGAGGTGGAGACAGAGCAAAGGCTCTACTTTGTTGGGTTTGAGCTTTGGCTCTAAGGATCAGAACTCCAAAAGCACAGATATATACTGCTGTGTATTCAACAACAGACCTGTAGGAAACTGAGCTGCACTATCATGAAGCAGACAGAGAAAACGAAGTAAAGCTAGAGGTGCTTACATTTGAAGTGTAATGTTTCTGCAGAATTGTACACCCTGTGAAGCAGGTAAACGCCCTAGGAGCAAGCGACTGCTGCCAGGTCCTGGCTGACAGTTGTACAGTATACTTTCTGAAAAACCCTTGTAGAAATGTGTTTGGGTATTTTACTCTAGGTCAAGGGTTCCTTCCCCTATAGGGAATGGGGAAGTATCTCAAGGTTATTTGAGGCTGGACAGTGGCTCAAATATGTAATCTTAGCTGCTTGGGAAGATCGAGGACCATGGTTTGAGATAGGTCAGAGGTTCTCGAGACTCCCAAAACTCAATCAACAGCTGGGTGCAGTGTGCATGCCTGTCCTCCTCAGGGTCACCTGGAAGCACAAGGATTGTAGCCTTGGCTGACCTGGGCTGGAAGACAGGACCTCAAAAACAGCCAAGACAAAAAGACTTGGAGGCATATGGCTTAAGTAGTAGAGCTCTTGCTGAGCAAGCTCCAGTTCTTGAGTTCAATTCCGAATACCACTGGGGAAGGGGGAGGAGAGAAAGATTCTTCAAAGCAGAGCTGAAAGAGGGACAGACCCCAGTTCTTTACCATCCCCATATCTGCAGCCAAAAGATAGCAGTGAAGATCACATTGGTACTGCTGTTAAGTTTACCAGCAACACACCCACCGATTCTCAAGACTGTACCATATTCTGTCTTAAACTTCTCCATTGCTCAGACCAACCTCATGTCCCTTACGCACTCACACCCTTCTCTCCAAATGCCCAGTGTTGGTGTTGGTGGCTCACGCCTGTATTCCTAGCTACTTAGGAGGCCGAGATCTGAGGATTGCAATTCAAAGCCAGCCCAGGCAGGAAAGTCCAATTAACCACCAGAAAAAACCAGAAGTGGTGCTGTGGCTCAAAGAAGTAGAGTGCTAGAATTGAGCAAAAGAGCTCAGGGATTAGTGCTAAGGCTGAGTTCAAGCCCCATGTCCAACAAATAAAAAGACCTGTGACAGCATTCCTTTGATTCAAGTTATCTCAGCAAATGGTCCTACTCCCATCCTATTATTGCAAAAGCCAGGATCTGAGGGTCCTCACCCCACCACCTTACTTTCCACTTTACCCTTTTGTAAGTGTTCCAACTTTTCTCTAAATCTACCAACCACCAACCTAGTCTTGGCTTACTTAACAGACTCTGGCAATAGCCTTCCCTGGCCTCACTGTACTGTCCTCTGGTCTGCCCTCCATCATGAGATCAGGCTTTACAGTGATGTCTCTTAGAGGAAGGACAAAACTTACATGGCCTAAGTGATCCCGAATAAACAGGTGCCCACTGTATAGCACCCTGTCATTCTCATGCTGTGACTTTCTCTTGAGGTTTGAGATAGCCATCAAAGCAATCACATTAGGGCTGGAGGTGTGATTCAAAAGGCAGAATACTTGCCTATCAAGAGCAAGGCCCTGAGTTCAAGCCCTAGTACTGCCAAAAGAAAAAACATCAGTGTTCATAAGTACAAAAGCCTCTTTGGCTGTAAAGGCTGAGGCCTGGCTATATGCACTGGCAAGTCTAGACATGTGCCCTCCAGAGCCAGGGAAGACAACTAAGTCAGTTGTGGTGGGTGTTGCCACTAGACTCAATCAGACAGGAGTCAGCCTGCCTAAGAGGATGCAGGACAGGGGCAGGTCTCAATGAGGAAAGTATCCTTGCCCCATAGGGAGTAGGGGTGGTAGTGTGTGTGTGGGGGGAGGGGCTGGTCTGATTAACATCCTAGAGCTCATGATTATTGGAGATAAGCAAAAGCCTCATCCTTGAGCCTCTGTTGCTGACTTCTCCACAGATGCCACTGTTTAGCACCACTGTGATGATGTTCTACTCTGTAAAGTCATGAAAGTTTTACTTCATTAAAGTCAAAGTAATTTGACTACAACACAGCCCAGAAAAGGGAGGCAGATCCTAAAGCCAGGCTGTTTTGTCAACTCCAGGGTATGTTACTCCTATTCTCCCTCAGCAAATTCTCCAACTCAGATGTTCTGCAGATGCTGTTTATTTATACTGTATCCTTGCTGGAATCAGTTCTAGGTCTGTAAATCATTGGGACCTTTATACTCCATTGTACACTATGATCCTTATCCCCAAGTATGTCCCACAGAGGCAGGCAATACTGTCAGATGCTTCCTTCATGGTGTTCTAGCCAGCTGTGGGTTTACATGTGACATTACCTGATTACTTCTTACTTTCCCACTTGGCTGCGGACATTTCAGTAAATTTGTTCAACAAATGGATAAATGCCCCAAGAATTAACAGCTTTATTATTATCACTACAAAGTTCCAGGTGCAAAGCTCAAGAGGCATAAATGAAAGTAGAACAAACACCTGTAAAAGCTTTTTAATGCAAGAACTTAAACACAGTTCAACAAAACCAGTCCAAATTAACTTCAACGTATTACAAAGAACTAAGAAGCCTGAGGGGCCATGTTTGAGGGGAAAAAGTCAAGTTCCTGCTCAGAATGGAAGGACACTGCCTCAAAGAGGCCTCTCTCTCCATCCCAGGAGGAAGAGCCATCACCACCGAGCTCTTGAAATAGCTTAGGTAACTCCACACAGAAGGCAGCAGCGTAGAGTCAAGGACAGAGACTCCACAGGTCAGGGCTCTGCCTTCCCACAAAGGAGGGCCCGACTAAAGGCACTAGGGCTCAGACACAGTGGACTGTGCCCTTGGGGAGATGGCAGCCCTGGAGAACCAGCTCAACAGGCTGCTGTGGGTATAGGTGGGTCAGGTGTTTTGTTCAGATTAACTGCAGAAAGGCTTTGTCTGGGGAAGTCAGAGGGGCAGCCCACAGGACAAAGCCAATTGTTTGCTGTCTGAGGCAGATGGATGGGAACAGGACTCCAACTTCACATTCAGCTCTAGAAGGTACCTTTCTGCCAAAAATATGTCCTGTGCTTGACTACAATGGGCTTAATTTAAACAAGCAAAGCCTCTCAGAGGGGCTAAGGAGGATATTTTGAAGCTCCCTTGGGGGCATGCTGGGTGTCAGGGGTAGGTAGATGCAGGGGAGGAGGCTCCTGGCTTCTCTGGGATGGTCAGGCAGAGGGTTCCTGCTGCCCATTGGGGGTTTTACTTCAGGCTCTGGTTAACTTCCTGACGTAACTTCTGTGCAGGGCCATTCCTGGGCTCAATCTGTAGGAGGCTGCTGATGTCTGCAAGGCTGGATTTATAGTCCTAATGAAAGAGAAGAGTGTGGGGAAGGGACCTGGAGGAGGTGAGATCTAGCTGGGGTGGGGACAGCTGCAACACAGCAGACGGTTTTCAAACTCCAGCCCTGTATGTGTTGTGAGCTATCTTGGGGCCCAGAATGAGGAACCCAGAAGTAACTGTCTCACCTTCAATGGCACTCTGAAGTGGCAGTACTGGTATAATTATCTACAGCTACTTCAGCATGTTCAGGTTTACCTTGAGTGCCTTGTAGGCTTGAGCCCGTCTATAAAATGCCTTCACATTCTTCCCATCCAGCTTAAGAGCTTCAGAGCAGTCCTTCACGGCTTCTTTGTACTGCTTCAGGACTAGATGGCATAGTGCTCTGGTGGGGAGAGGCCATTACAGAGGTTTAGTCACTCTTCATGGAAAATACTGTAGAATTGGAATAGTGTCTATCTGTACCTGGCATGCACTTCAAATTTTGATTACTGCCAAAACTCTCTTCAAAGAAGTTACACTTTTAGGACATTATGAACAAAGGCTACTTTCCTACAACTAAAGCAAACCTGGGATTTAAAATCAATTCTTTGCCTATGGAAGAAAATAGTAACTTACTGTCTTTAGTTGCTTTAAATATGAATAAATATGAATAAGTAAGATTTTTTAATCTTACGAAATTAGATCTATCCAACATTTCTGTGAGTTTAAAAAATTTTGTGGGTTTTATTTTCCTCCTATATAGAAGTATTTAAGCTGGGTGCCTAGCTACTTAGGAGAGACTGAGATCTGAGGATCAAGATTTCAGGCCAGGCCAGGGTGCTAAGAGGTCATGCCTGTCATTCTATCTATTCAAGAGGCTGAGATCTGAGGATGGCAATTTGAAGCCAGCCCAGGCAGCAAACTCCCTGAGACTTAAGCACACAAGAAAGCTGGAAGTGGAGCTATGGCTCAAGTGGTAAAGCACTATCCTTGAGCAAAAAAGCTCAGGGACAGCATCCAGGCCCTATGTTCAAGCTCCAAGACCAGCACAAAAGAAGGAGAAAGGAAAAAGATCAGAAGTCAGCCCAGGTAGGAATATCCATCCGTATGATTCTTATCTCCAATTAACGACCAAAAAGATTGAAGTGTAGCTATAGCTACACGAGAGCACAAGGCCCTGAGTTCAAGCCCAGTACCAAAAAATAATTAATTTCCAAATGGTCTTTGGCAGGAAAAAGATTTCCCACCTCAGCTCCATTTGCCTATTTATAGCATACAATTATCAACAGACAGGCAGGCCATGGGCAGTCAATTACAAGGATATGTGTCTGTCCCATCACGTACCAAATGATTCTGCTGGGCTTGTATGGCTTTTGGGCCCAATGTTCCTCATCCCAGATGGATCTCAATGAAGCCAGATTCTATTTTTGTCACTATTATTTATTGGATGGGTGAGCTTAGACAAACCTTTTCTAATTTAAAAGTACAACGGGGCCGTTCCTTTTCTAAGACTCAAGTTTTCTCACTTTTAAAACAGGACAAGCTCTACAGAGTATACTTCTGAACATTGCTGTGTGGTGAGCCCTGTAGAGTAGAGATGGCGCCCTGACTCACAGGCCCTCGCAGTCAGTAGTTAGTTATAGCAGTGGCTGGTGAAGTCTTCCTCAGGCCCACCAGCCTAATCCCTCACACCAGATTGCACTCTGTCCCATTTTTCCAGGCCAGACAACAGTTACTATATTCTCTGGTTCTGGAATAATACTCTTAGAAAGGGATCTGCCAGTATTTCTAAGAGGTACATCTTAGAGAAGCAACATGGAGCAGAGTGGAGAGACAAATATTTTAAGGTCGTCTTTGCAAAGCACACTGCTTTCCTACACTGCATGATTATCTGGGGGTACTTAATAAAAATTCTGTGGCGCTAGTAAAACATAGGCTACCCTATAGCCTGAAAAGGGTCCTAAGTGTGTGGTCTGAGCTATAACAGGACAAAATGCTAGGGACTGGAGAACTTATCAATCACAGAAGTCCATGGAACCAAATGTCCAATGTTCTGAAATCCCCCAGGCCAGCAGCTATGTGAAAGGTACCTGTTGCTGTATGTGGCAGATTCCAGGTTACTAAACAAGAGGCTTTCACTGTACTTCTCAATAGCTTTCTTATGGTTGCCCTTCTTTACAAGCTCATTGCCTTCTTCCTTCAGAACTTTGGCTCTCTCCACATCCCCAGCAGAAGGCACTAGACACAAATTCAGAAGAGGAAAAAACCATGGAGCAGCAGTGCTCAAATGAGATCAATGAGATCTCTTTAGCATCATCTCTTCAAAACTGAGCACCAGGCTCTCACCCCCTCCCCACCATTACCCATACTGTTACAAATTATTTTTCTTGGATTAATCAATAAGTTCCCCAACTAATGGCTTTTGGGGAAGTTTTTCATTCAGAAGAGATTGAAGACTTCTGTTACCAGTGTATTTATGCATGCACATGACATATATATGATAAAAGCGACCCAGGTTCTAGTCTTGACACTGCCACTTGGTAATTGATGTATCTCAGGTGACCTATTTAACTTCTTCAGTTTCCTCACCAATGCAGCAGAGCATCTAGTCCACAAGAGGCTATGTCAGAATCAGGCCTGAGAATACATGAGCAAGTATAGAATATCCTGCAGACTTAAAGCAGTAGTACTACTAAACAAGCATCAAGTAAAGAAAAAGCTATAGTGTCTGGATTTCAGAAGAGCATATGAGGGTCTGCTTGTTCTGAGCTTGTGAGTACCCTCCTTTTTCTGTCACATGCAGCTCAATCGCAGCTTTTCAAGGGAGAAAGAATAAGGTAAATAAGCTGCTCACGTTGGTGTAAAAAGGCCATTCACTGCTTGGCTCCAATTAATTCCTCAGCCTTGATTTTATGTCACCTGCTTTTTAATCTTTAAAAACTACTTTTTAAAATACTGAATATTCACAACAAAGGTATTACTATAGGAAATAAACCAACACCTGAACCTGGTCCTATGGACCCTCCTCCAACTTAACCCACTTCTACAAGCAAATATAAGCCCCCCAATGCTGGGCTTTTCTACTGACATTCCCTGATTTAAAATATAGTTTAACTATATATAGTAATATCAATAAACAATGTTTATATACTATTTTTGAGTTTAATATAGAGGAATAATAATCCTTCATATTCTTTTATGATTTGGTTTTCCTTTCCCCCACTCAACGTGCTCCTGAGATTCATGTGGGTTGATGCATTTTCACAGTGGCAATACCACAATGGATTTGTTCATTGTCTCACTTGTAGAGATTTGGGTTATTTCTGGTTTTGTTTTTGCTGTTACAAACATGTTGCTATGAATGCTCCTGTACATGTCTTAGATACGCACTTCTAGAGTTTCTTTAGAAGTGACTCTGAGCACTGGATGCAATACAGCCTCAGCTTCACTCAGGCTCTGGAACACACCACTCACTGTAATAACACTTATTTCCACTATTTACCCGTGCACTTTCCTTCTCCAGCTCCTTCCACTGTCTATGACAAGAATTCTATTCCCTTCTCACCTGTGACCTCATCCTTCAAGGTTCAGTTCCAGCTATCACTTCATAGCCAGCTTTCCCTAACCTCAGGCTATATATATGTAAGCTAGGCTTTCTTTCTTTTTTTTTCTTTCTTTCCTTTCTCTCTGTCTCTCTCTTTCTTTTTGTTGGTTGTGGGGCCTTAACTCTGGGCCTGGGCACTATCCCTCAGCTCTTCAGCTCAAGGCTAGTAGTGCTCTACCACTTGAACCAGAGTGCCACTTCTGGTGTTTTCTGCTTATGTGGTGCTGAGGAATTGAACCCAGGGCCTCATGCATGCAAGGCAAGCACTCTACCACTGAGCCACCTTCCCAGCCCAGCATTAAGTTTCTTGTTTGAAGACTCTACAGCATTCATTCTTCTTCCTTGTACTTTAAAATAGTTTCCTTGTTTCAGTTCCTTGTCTGATCAGTAGTTCCCTAAAGCTCAAGACTGCCTTCTCCCATGTCACAGTGCTTAGCATAGGATGTGAGACACAAATGTCTTAGTGACTCCAAAGGAATAAAGTAAATGGCAGCTGTCCTGAGGCTATCTAGTTGATTGACACCCCAAATTTCATCCTAAGGAAGAGTGGAGAATTTACCAGGCTCCCACAAGCCAGAGTGAATACTACCTAAATGTAACCCTGATCCTTACACTTCCCTGACCTCACTAGTTCTCTTAGAACATCTAAGAGCTAGTCTCCTATTTGTGGCCTCTAAGGTCTGGTCTGATCTCTCTTTTTTTTTGGGTCTGGTCGTGGGGCCTGAACTCTGGGCCTGGGCACTGTCCCTCAGCTCTTCAGCTCAAGGCTAGCGCTCTACCACTTGAGCCACAGTGCCACTTCCAGCTTTTTTCTTTTTTGCTTATGTGGTGCTGGGGAATCGAACCCAGGGCCTCAGGCATGCAAGGCAAGCGCTCTACCACTGAGCCACCTTCCCAGCCCCTCTTTTCTCTTTCTAATCTTTCTCCAAGGATGCCACCCACAGCACGAGTTCCTGAGGAAGCATCTCCCTCTACTATTGGAGGTATACAGAGGGTCTAAGCCTAAGATAGTCATAAAAATCTCATTTCCTGAGCAAACCAGAAGAAACCAAGAATAATTTTTTGTTTTTTGTCAGTTGTGGGGCTTGAACTCTGGGCCTGGTCTCTGTCCCTGAGCTCTTCAGCTCTACCACTTGAGCCACAGTGCTACTTCTGGTGTTCTGGTGGTTAATTGGAGCTAAGAGTCTCGTGGACTTTCCTGCCTGGGCTGGCTTTAAACAGCGATCCTCAAATCCCAGCCTCCTGAGTAGCTATGATGACAGGTGTGAGCCACCAGCACCTGGCCTGAGAAAATTTTAAGTGAAGCATTTTGGGAAAAATAACTTCTCTTTCACTATTTAACTATTTATTTATTTATCTATTGGTCATGGGACTTGACCTCTGGGCCTAGGTGCTGTCCCTCAGCTCAAGGCAAGCACTCCACCACTTGAGCCCACTGTGCCATTTTCAGTTTTCTAGTGGTTAACTGTAGATAAGAGTCTCACAGACTTTCCTGCCCGGGCTGGCTTTGAACCATGACACTCAGATCTCAGCCTCCTGAGTAGCTAGGATTATAGGAATGAGTGATTGGTGCCCGGCCTGAACTATGTAATTTTAATTTTTGGGGTAATGGGGTAGGACAGAGATGGTTCTTGCCTTAGGTCATGAGGCATGGAATAAGGCTGAAGGCCAGGAAATTCTGAAAGGAAAGTTGACATATAACCAAGAAAAGAGTGGAGAAAAGAATCTGATTATGAGCTGGACACCAATGGCTCATATCTGTAATCCTAGGTACTCAGGAAGCTGAGATCTGAGGATTGCAGTTCAAAGCAAGCCCAGACAGCAACATCCCCATTAGACTCTGATCTTCAATTAACTCCTCAAAAACTGAAGTGGAGCTGTGTCTCAAAGTGGTAGTGCCAAAGAACTCAAGGACAGCACCCAGCCCCTGAGTTCAAGTCCCATAAACAACCAAAAAAAGGAAAGAACCTATTATGTAATGAACTGCTGGGGCAAACATCACCTGAACTCTCTCTGGACTTTCATTTATGTGAGTCAATACATTCCCTGTATTATTTTACCATGTTGAGTTTTCTGTTCTTACAACCAAAATTATGCTAAGTGACATATCCCAAATACCACGAGAGGAATGGGAACAGATACTGTACACTTATGTGCAAGTTCTGCATGCCTTATATTATTTAATCCTCATAGCTACAAAGTAGGTTTGCTCTTTGCTTCACTGTACAGCTGAGGAAATAACCTCTAAGTAGAGACCTTTTCTTTTTTTTTTTTTTAAAGCTTTATAACTTGGCTAAACAAGATCAATTTGTATAGAAACACTCTAGGCAGGGAGTCACAGCTTACCTCTGCTCTTTGTAGTTGTGGTTTCTTTGGATTTGCTTTTAACTGTCTCTCTGTGGTTCTCTGAAGGCATGGCATTCCACCTTTTCTGGGCTGAGACAGGCACAACAGGGACAGAGGGCAGCTTTAAGCGCCACTCAGGTCCAAGTGAGTCCATGAGAGCTCTGGTCATTCTGGAAGGGAAGGCAGGAAGTTTCCAGCAAGGTCAAGAAGACTATTACTCCTTTTACATACCTCAGGGAAGATAGGCCCTTTCACAAGAGCTAGAATTACCTCCCCTAGTCTAACCTTCTGCTTATATTCTCTTAACATGGCTGTAACAGAGGAACAAGACAGAGCCTGCCACCACACATATTACTTCTCAGATCACCTACCGCAACACTCCTTCCCTTAGGACTGGTCACAGTATGTGGTGATCTGTGTTGCCTGTTAGGATACTTAACTTTGCCCTTCCCAAATTACATATTCCCTAAGAATGTTCTGTTTTATACTTTTCTTAATCTAAGAGTCAGGTAAACACTTAACATTTCTTGAGTGCTCTGAGACTTAAAAAAAAAAGAAGTGTGAATCTAAGGGGGAGGGGGGAATGTGACTCCTTAAACACCTATTAAAGACAATAGATTCTCCTTGCAAACTTTGCCCACATGGTAGGTTTCTAAATCCAGTCAAAGGAAGGCCATTCAGAAGACAACCAAAGCAGTGGGCCGATCAAGGATAGAGAACTTCCATGGAGAAGACCTGCAGTGAACTGGGCTCACCTATTGATGCCTTCCAGGGCTGACATCACACTATTATCAATCTGTAATACAGTCTTGTAGTCGACATAGGCCTGGGGGTATTTCTCCAGGGCCTCATAGGCAGATGCCCGCCGCAGTAAGGGTTTCATGCTGAAGGGAACCAAGGCCAGTGCTCTAGAATAGAAAGCAAACTATCATATTCTTGCTGGAACCCTAGGGCTGTTCCAGTTTCTTCTAGGTGGGGTCACTTCATGTACTAGAGGTAATTTCTGCAGAAAGCCAATCTCTCTAAAACAGGAACTTTTCAACTTGGATTGAAGTGAGGAGGTAAAGGAGGGCAGAGAATCATCAATGAAAAATTTGCATACATATACATAGCTTCACTCCCCTAAAAAGAATAAGAACCCCATGGCTTTCAAGCTAGTAGGTATTTCTAGATCAAAGTCCTGTATGAGAGACAAACAGGCTTTGGAGTCAGCTGAGGTTCTGTTGGGATGCTATCTGTACTATCCTAGCAATGGTACCCTAGGAAATTCAGTAACTCAGTTCTGCCTGGAAAGGTGGGTAAACTTAACCCATAGGATGGTCATGAGCACTTAAGGAAACCTAGTATAGGTTCTACCAGCATGCTCACCCCCTACTCCTCTCCCATCTACCAGCAGGGCACACATGTAAGGCACAGGACAGGAGGGGATAGTTTAGAGGTGAGCCTGCTGAAGAAACTTTTCAGTGTCCTCTATCATTGGTCATTAATGGATACCCATTTTCTTTCTCTGATAATCTACTCTCAATTCTTCCTTGTTTCCTCCCCTCCCTTTTCCTCATATCCATTCCAGAAAAAAAAAAAAAATTCAGCAAGCCTGTCATTGATCTGCAACTCTACCTTACCACAAGTTCCAAGACTCATGAAGGCTTTAAGGCCTACCTCTAACTTCCCACCCAACTCCTTTTCAACAGCAGCAGAGCTAAAACTCCAAAGACACAAGTCAAAGGCACAAGGACTAAGAAAGCCTGTCTTTCTCAGAGGCCTGATGATACTTCCTAATGTCTACCACCAATACAACTGGTAAGATCCTTCCAAGGAAGAAATAAACTAGATGAACCCAGATCCTCAGGAACCCAAAAGTCGCCCTGGGTCACTTACGAAGTACAGTCTTTGATGCAATCTGTGCAGTTCCCATCTTTCAAGTGGCATGCTGCACGGTTGGAGTAGAGAACACTTTCCTCTTCAGGGTCTGCAGAACCTGCCCAGGTGGAGGCAGGAAGAGATCATCATCACTTTGGGAAATGGATGTCAGGGGACAATGGATACATTTTACACCTGAAGCTCTTTAGGCTCCGTGGAAAGGCAGCAGAGATGACTTTAGCTTGATCAGGCTTGTTCACTAGCTGGCATGTTTGTCATTCTTACATGCACTGACTGGGTCTGGGCAATGACTGGCCATTTTGCCATTAAAGGGAAAGCATCTTCTCAATTATTCACTTCAGCATTGAACTGGCCCATGGCAAAAAAATAAAACACAAACAGCTAGCTCCTGCCTCACTCTGCCAGTTAGTAACTGAGCTGGGTCTGATAAGACGATGGAGAACTCAAAGGAATCCCAGCTATCCAAAAGGTAGGCGAGCTATTCATTATTTCTCTAAAGAAAATCCTATTCTGGGCTGGGAAGGTGGCTCAGTGGTAGAGCACTTGCCTTGCATGCATGAGGCCCTGGGTTCGATTCCTCAGCACCACATAAGCAAAAAGAAAAAAGCCGGAAGTGGCGCTGTGGCTCAAGTGGTAGAGCGCTAGCCTTGAGCTGAGGGACAGCGGCCAGGCCCAGAGTTCAGGCCCCACAACTGGACCAAAAAAAAAAAAAAAAAAGAAAATCCTATTCTTAGTCAACTGTCTCTTCATTGTGGCCGTGATTTTCAATTTTAAAGATAATGGGTAGGACCAAGAGCACAGCTTAAGACACAGTAATAGGCACTCTGGTAACTGAGGCTCTGAATTCAAACCCCAAGTACTGCCTCCCCCACATATATATCTCAATCTCTTCTTACTGACTAGTATGGGCCACAAATAAAAACAGTATGCTCATTTAAAACATGAAAAAACAAAAGAAAATAAAAAGAAACAAAAACTAAGTGAGGCCCAGTAACTCTACTCCTAGATATATATCCCAAAGACCTGAAAACATGCTCTTTTTGAAAAATTTGAAACACATGGAATGCTATATGATATTTAGTACTTATTATTATATTTAGCATATTGATGGTTGTTTTCTATCTTTTTTGTTGCTGTTGTTGTTGGTCGTGGGGCTTTAACTCTGGGCCTGGGCACTGTCCCTCGGCTCTTCAGTTCAAGGCTAGCGCTCTACCACTTGAGCCACAGCACCACTTCTGGTTTTCTGGTGGTTTATTGGAGATGTGTCTCATGGACTTCCTTGCCTGGGCTGGCTTTCAATGGAGATCCTCAGATCTCAGCCTCCTGAGTAGCTAGGATTATACGTATGAGCCACCGGTACCCAGCTTTGTTTTCAATCTTAAATTTACTTTTTTTTTTTTGAGAGAGGATCTTGATATATATTATAGCCCAAATTAGCTTAAACTAGTGATCTTTTTGCTCAGTCTGCTGAGTGAGTGCTGGAATTACAGGTATATGGAACTATGCCTGCCTTCCTTTTTACTTTTGATATGCCTAAAGTCCTAATCATTCTCATCCTTACCCCTTGTGCTCCCTTTTCAGGGGCCAGTACAATCCTGAAACTGCTATATAAATTTTCAAGCACTACTTCTTTTTTAGGGAGTTGTTCTTGGGGCTTAGACCTTGTACTTGCTAGGCTGGTACCCCACTACTTGAGTTTCACTACTTTTTTCCGGCTATTTTAGAGATGGAGTTTTGCAAACTTTTCTGTCTAGGCTGGCCTGGAACTGCTATCTCCCTCCAGGTCTCAGTCTCCTGAGTAGCTAGGATTACAGATATGAGCCTATGGCACCTGGCTATTTTTTTTGTTTTTGTGTCTGGTCGTGGGGCCTGAACTCTGGGCCTGGGCGCTGTCCCTCAGCTCTTCAGCTCAAGGCTAGCGCTCTACCACTTGAGCCACAGTGCCACTTCTGGCTTTTTTCTTTTTTGCTTATGTGGTGCTGAGGATATTTTTTTTATTATACATGTAGTCACAGGTAAGAGACAGTATCATTTATGTCTACTACAGCATTTCCTAAGTAGCATCATATTTCTTATCCTTTAGTAACTTGCTTTTTTTTCACCAAGCATCATGATACCATGCTGATATTTGATATCTTTCATTCAACAACAACAATAGCATTTGTGATTAAAATAGCCTTATTCTTATCTTGCTGTGGGCCCTGAGCCAGAAAGTACGGAGATAAAACTCAGCCCTGTCCTTAAGAAGCAAGTACAGTCTGTAATGCATCCCAAGTCACTAGAGCATGTCTGTTCAGAAATAGCAATGGCATGTGAAAACGCCAGGAGAACCTACATTCAGCCAGTGTGAGCAAGTCACTTGATCATGTGGATGCACCTACCACATGAAAGTATCACTTCACAGACTTGTGGAGAAAGTTCCTTGCATTAGGTTGCTCCCTGTGTCCCTTCCAAGAGCAAGAAAACTGATCAGCGCAATCAAGAAATTTGTCCACAGATTACCACAAAATCAGTAGTTGGATCAGAAACAAATTGTGGTCCCTGATAAATTTAAACATAGGACCAGTTTTTCTAGGGAATAAACTTACACAAAAGCACAGCTTTTCTAGACCAGCTGGGTGGCAAGGAAGAAAAATGCACAGGCATCAACACCTCAGATTTCTGAGCCATTTCAAATGATGCTAGTTTGAGCAGGTAAGCCAAAAGAGGTTTCCAGGGGAGAAAAGGGGGGTGGTGGTGGTGGAAGAGTAGATTATCACTGTAAACACTTTACAAATAAAAAGGTTTTAATTTAGAGACTTGAGGAAGTCTAAATGATTAAAGAAAAATTGGCCTTAGCAATCAGACAGATCCATACACAAATCCAAATCCTGCCTTGGACATCTTCACTGTCTTAGGGTAGGCAATTTAATTCTTCTAGATTTCTCATTTCTAAGTGTCTTATCAGTAAGGTTATAATATAGATATAGGTAATGTCTATATAATAGAGCATTCAACAAATGCTAACCAAGAAAGTAAGAGGAGGAAGGCAAAAGGAAATAGTTACTAAACTGAAAATGTCAAATTAAATGCTTTATCCAATGGAGGCTCTTTGATAAAATATTCTGGAGAGAAGGCCTTGGGCCAAGGCTTCTCATTGAGTGACCTGAAGGCTAGGGGAATGGTTTAAAACTGTCCTATCCCTTCCATCAAGGAATAAGATCCACATTCCTTACTAGGGCTTAACACACCTACAAGACTGCTTCGCTCATGCAGAAAAGCCAGTACTGTGCTTGAAGTCTTGAGCACACTGTTTATTCTGAGGGTATCTGTGTGTGCCAGTACTGAACTCTGAAGCTTTCTGCTTCAAGGCTGACACTGTACCAAGTGAGCCACACCTCTTCTGGGCTTTTTGCTAGAGATTAGCTCCAATTAATTAGGAGTCTCTCAGATTTGTCTGTCCAGGCAGTTCAAACGATGATTCTCAGATTATAGACTCTTGAGTTGCAAAGATTGAAGGCTTGAGCTACTTGTGCCCAGCTCTGAAGGCCTATGTAATGGCTGTTTCCTCCATATGGAGAGCCCAGCCTTTGTGCACTGGAATTCCATCATTCAGCCATCTCCTGGAATATCCCTTCTTTGAAGTTGCCTTGGACTTTTCACCGTAAAGGGGTGCCACAGAGAACTGAATCATCTCACGGCATTACATTGTTTTTTTGGTAGGTCATGGGGGTTGAACTCAGGGTCTGGGCTTTTTTTGCTCAAGGCCTCAGCCCCACTTCCGGTTTTCAGGCGGTTAATTGGAGTCGCATGGCCATTTCTGCCTGAGCAGGCTACGAAACCACAATTTTTAGATCCAAACCTCCTGAGTAGCCACGATTACAGGCGTGACCACCAGCCCCCGGCTGGTATCGATCTCTTTTTGATAGATTTTAATGATCCCAGGTGTCTTTATGTACTTACTAGCTTAAGGACCAGCCCTTCCCTCCCTCCCCAAATCCCGCAGAAAGTTCACTAGGGAATGGGTATACAATAGGGATACAACAGGTGCTCAACAGACATTTAATTAAAAAAAAAACAAAAACAGTTGTGGGGAAGGAGGATTCAGCTCAGGGATGATGGGAAAGAGGCCTGAGTAACTTGAGGATGGGAATCCAGAAGGCAGTTAAAAAACAAAACAAAAAGACAGCACGCGGAAAATAAAAAGGGGGCCGAGGAAGTTTCTCGTAGGATGCCCGGCTCCGGCGGGGGCGGAGAGCCGGGCGGGAAGGGCTGGCGGGGATGGCCGGCCACGGGGGAGGGAAGCTCCTGGAAGCCAGGCAGCGGAGGGGCCGGGGGAAGGCCGTGTGGGGGAGACCGGGGGAGAAATGGGGGGCAGGTTCGTACCTCGCGCCTGCAGCAGCTGCAGCGCGCGGCCGTAGAGCGCGGAGGCCTCGGCGTACTGGCCGTTGCGGAAGCTCTGGTTGCCGGCAGCACGGAGCTCCTCCACAGAGTCCGGGAGTTTCGGGGCCATCCCGGGGCCGGAGGGCCAACGAGGGGAGCGACTCCGGACCCGGCGGAGCGGCGGGGAAAGAGAGTCCCGGAGCAAACCGCGTCCGGGCGGAAGCACTGACTGCGAGCCCTTGGGTCCCGCCCCTTCTGCGGCAGCGAGGGGGCGGGGCCTCCGCGCACCCGAGGCTCGGACGGCCCGGCCCTCTGCTCATGCTCAGTCTGCACCTCGGCGGCCCAGTAGTGGTTGCTGTGTGCTTGATGCTGGGCGGGGCGCTTGGGTGTCTAGGAGCAGCTGGGAGGGTGCTGTGGAAAGGGAGGAAGGACCTTGCTTTCCATCTCTAGGAGGGGGCCCAACACGCCATTAACTACCGGCCCAGTGAAGACCCTACTTTCATGTAAAGAAAATGAAACTTCCTGGGATGGTGGTACACGCTTGTAATTCCAGCCGTCTGGAGGCTGAGGCAGGAGGATGGAGTTTGAGGCCTGCCTGAAAGATGTAGCAAGACTACATCCCAACACATCAAGCCCCCAAGGAAACACTAGTAATGCCACGGAAAGTGGCCACGTGGGGACTACTTTAGAGGGGTGACAAGGAAGGCTACTCTTGAGGGTAATAATGGGTCTGAAACCTGAGAAGATTTAGAGAACACTCCAAATAAAGAAATGGCAAGTGCAAAGTCTTGAGGCTTTCTGGCAGCTGGTATACTGAGTTGGTAAATGACTGCACAGATAGGTTGATGGATGAGTTTCCATTAAGGGTGACTTTAGTTTATTCTCATCTGATTTCCCTTTGACTGATTTCTTTTTAAAGTTCCAGTTTCTTTTTAAACTTCATTTTACTACTTAACACTAAGTTCTTTCTCTGGCTTCTAGTTTGACTTATGTTATCCTCTTCTGGAATTCCCTTCGGAATATTTTTCTCCTAATCCTGAATCAATTTATAGTATTAGTTTCAAAACATCAGCTCTAAAAGCCTTTCTTGATCTTACGCCCCTCCTCAGCTACTGGTTTGCAGATTGATCCTCAGTTTATCAGTTATCATTGGGCTTGTTAGTTTACAGGTGGAAGCAGAGGTGGGTCCTCCTTGTCTTTGTCTCTCCAGGAGTTTACCATCTGGCATGAGTGTGTCCCTCAAAAGCTGTATGTAGCTCACATCTGTAATCCTAGTTACTTAGAAGGCTGAGATCTGAGGGTATAAATTTGAAGACAGCCCAGCCAGGGAAGTTTGTGATATTCTTTATCTCCAATTAACCTTCAAAAAGCTGGAGCTTTGGTTCAATTGATGGAGCATTAGCCTTGAATCAGAAAAGCCAAGTGAGACCATGAGATACCAAGTTTAAGACCTGGTACAGACAGGCAAAAAGCCTAATTTGCAAGCCTTCCTTCCCCTCAAGGTGATGGCTTTAGGAAGTGGGGAGTTTTGAGAGGTAATTCAGAGGCAGAGCCCTCATGGAGGGCTAGGATCATAGCTTCCATGTCCTCATGAAAGAGGCATACTATGGGGTATGCCAACCAGATGTTGAGGCTTCTAAGATGTTGGGACACAGCAAGAAAGTGTTGTCTATGAACCAGAAAGGAGGCCCTCAGCAGAGACTGCAGGTGCCTCCATCTTGTTTCCAGCTTCTAGACCTGTAAGAATTCTGTGTCCATGTTATACTTTTAAGCTATTTAAACAAATAGCACAAAGAAAACCTGAGTTGAGAAAACTTCAGAAGTATAAATTGACCAATCATGATGCTAGTTATATGTCTTGTTTTTCAGCCTAATGGTTTAAGCCAATGTATGTATTGGTTGAGCCTGGTTCAATCAATGACATGTTAAGACTTGGGATTCTGATCTTAACATACCTTTACTTGCCAGTGTTTTCTCAACTAAGGAAGACATTAACACTGGACAGACCTTTTTAAGGAGAGATGGAAAAGGTATAGTGAGTTGGGGGTATGGCACAAAGGTAGAGAACTTGCCTAGCATGGACAATGCTCTTGGACGCAAAACCAAACCCAAACTGCAAAAAGAAAAACCAAACCAAACCTGTAGTTAGCAGCTGGTATTCTGAACTAGGGCAGGGCTGGCTGCCTGTCACCCCAGTACTGGGTGGGCTGAGGCCCGAAGGTCTCAAGTGAGAGCAAAGAAAAAGAACAGTTCTTTTTAAGTCGGAGCCTCAGTACTTCCACCAGAGGCGGAGACAGGGACCAGGCTGCGGCTTCCCGACAAAACCGGGCCTCCCTCCCGAACTTCCTGGTTCCGGCTTCGCGCACGCCGCGGCCCCACGAGACTCACACCAGCTCCACGTGACGGAGACCGCGGCTCCGCCCACTCGCGCGCTCACGCCGCTTCCGGTAGGGGCGGAAAGCGGAAGTGTGGGAGGGTCTGCGGGGCGGGGCTGGCTCCGGGAGGTCCGAAGCAGGATGGAGCAGTGAGCTGAGTTTGGTGGCTGCCGGCAGCGCCATGGAGACGGTGCAGCTGAGGAACCCGCCGCGCCGGTGAGGGGAAGGGCAGCGGGGCGGGGGAAGACTGGGGAGGAACTGGATGAGGTGTGGGGGGGACACTTGTGTGGGCGCCCCCCGGGAGGGAAGGGACCCGCGAGGCGAGGCGAGGCGACCTGGCTGGCGGGGCACCTGCTGGTCAAAGGGGCCGTCCGGCGGCCAGGGGGCGGGCTGCGGGAGCTCCGGCGGCGAGGGGAGAACGCGGGAGGACTCCGCTCGGGAACGAGTGGACCAGTTAGGGAGAGCGCCTGCCGGGGCCCCTGGAGGAAGGCTGTCCCCAGAAGAGACCCACGAAGGCGGTGGGGTGTGCGGAGTCCGGAGGAGGACCTGGGCGGGTCGGTCTCTGGGGATGGACGAGAACTCGCAGAGGGCAAGACTTTCCTGAAGTAATCTTCAAGTCCCACCTCAGGGTGCAGCGGGCGGGGGGGAGGGGGGAGATCTGTTGCACCCATAGCTTTGCCTCGGAGGCTGAAGTCGTGCGAGGACTGGTGGAGAGTCCGGACCAGCTGCGAGGTTTGGTGAGGACGGCGTTAGGAGGATGTACTTGGTGGTACTCAAGGGTGACGGTAACGTCTTCCATCCTGATTTTCTTTACAGCCCCAGCCCCCCCCCCCCTTTCAGAGACCCACATTGTGAGGTATATAAAGAAATAAGATACTTTCAGGATGAGCCAGGAGGTCCAGAAGATTCTAGAGATAAATGGATCCCGCCAAGCCACTCCATGCCTCTGTCGTTGTGCGACTACCAGTTACTCCATGCCCCCTTTCAAGCTTCTGTTGATCTGTGGCTATCAGCTTCAGATCCTAGTGGTACCTGGAATAGCTTTAGGTCAAGTGCAAGAAGGCTGATCCTAAAATGTCTGAACTCCTGATCGGTTGCACTTGTGCCACTGAGTTCCCCTGTGGGCATCAAGGGTCTGAGGAGACCTGCCACATCTGGAGAAAAGCAGGGATAAGACTCTAGGAGGTGCAGCATGGTTAACTTGTACCTCACAGAGAAGACATTTGGCTTCCTGTTGCAGAATGCTCGCTCTGAAGTAGGAAGTGTTGAGAGTGCCCAAGTGCTGGGAGAGGTGAAGGGAGGGGATTCACAGCCCAGACAGCACTCTTAGGGGGATTGTTTGAAGTGCACAGACACTGCACGAACATTGTTGGACTAGGCTCTTCTTGATCCACTGAAATAGCAATGATTCTTATACTTACAGGCTGCCAGGCACTGTTGTAAGTGCTTGCCATGTTTCCTGTTGAGTTATGTGAATTTGCTGCAATTTGATCATTATTTAGCTGTAAAAATGGTAGTTCCATATAGTTCAACTTATTGATTGGACCCTCACACACAGCTGTTGAATGAACTGGATGTCCCCGTATCTGTATTATCTGTATTTTACAGCTAATAAAACAAGTATAGAGGTTAGAGATTTCCTGAGGTCCAGAGTTGGGATTTTACTGTCTAAGCAGTTTGATCTAAAGTCCATTTCTCTGTCTCTGTCTCTTTGTCTCTGTCTGTCTCTCTGTCGCTCTCTGTGTCCCTCTGTATCTCTCTCTCTCTCTCTCTCTCACTTTCTCATTTGTCTCCATCCTATCTCTGAAATAAGGATGTGAGAACTGTCCCAGAGCTTTTTTTTTTCTTCAAGGCTAGTGTTCTACCACTTGAGCCCACAGCTCCATTTCTAGCTTTTTGGTGGTTAATTTGGAACTTTCACTGCCTTCTTCCTACGTATTCGTATGGTCTTCTCCTTATACCTGTGTTCACACTTCTTCCTCTTATAAGGATACAGACCCATACTGGACTAAACCCTGGTCATATGACCTCTGCCTGTGTTACTCAATGGTTCTGTCTCTGAACACGGTCAAATTCTGAAGGACTAGGAGTTAGGATTTCAACATGGTGGGTGGCACAGTTAATTTAAAATTAAATTAAAACATTTAATTATACTATACATATTTGTTGTAACCTATCTGTGATTCTATTTGAAATGTATGATAAGTATCCTAAATAAAATGAGCCTTTTTATAGTTTTGACATGGGAGATAAAGGTTTTAGAATTATCCAGACTTTTGAATGACCTCTGACAGGTGTCTGACAGCTTCAGATGGTATGCATTTCCAACAATCCCAATGAAGGAAATGCTCTGTATGTTTGTGAGGGTGGCATTTATGTGACTAAGTGAATGATGATAGATGGGTATCTTAATGGGGTCATGGTTTTAAAAAGTGACTTGCAGCCGGGCACCAGTGGCTTATACCTGTAATCCTAGCTACTCAGGAGGCTGAGAACTGAGGATCACAGTTCAAAGCCAGCCTGGGCAGGAAAGTCCTTAAGACTCTTATCTCCAATAAACCACACAGAAAACTGGAAGTGGGGCTGTGGCTCAAGTGGTAGAGTGTTAACCTTGAGCTGAAGAGCTGAGCGACAGCGTTCAGGCCTAGAGTTCAAGCCTCATGACCTACAAAAGAAAAAAAAGTGACTTGTCATTAGGTAGTAGTATGGTAGGAGGCATGGAGGGCATTCGGCTCTTCAGATGTTCCTGGCAGGAGGACATCTACCAATATTCAGTGCATGTAATCTGTTCATTGTGAGCAAGTGCTGAAACTCAGACCTGGGAAGTCCCAGGTGAAAGAGTCACCAAAGTCATGCCGTAGTGGTTATTGTACTTGTTCCATGAAGACTCATGGTATAAAATACCAGTACAAGTCACTTTTCAATAGATTTTTCCATAGCAATTTTGACTTGTTGATAACCTCATAATACATTTTATTTACTTATTATTTATTTATTGTCAATCCTGGGGCTTGAACTCAGGGCCTGGGTACAGTCCCTGGCTTTTTGTGCTCAAGATTAGTGCTTGGAGCTGTGGCTCCATTTCTAGCTTCTTGGTGATTAGTTTGAGGTAAGAGTTCCATGGAGTTGTCTGCCCAGGCTGGCTTCAAACCATGATCTTCAGAGCTCAACCTCCTGAGTAGCTAGGATTACAGGTATGAGCCACCAGCACCTGGCCCATAATACTTTTTAGGTGAATTTCTGTTTCATTTTGGCAACTTGCACAGTTAGGATTCCCATAACATTTGTTGATACATTTAACAGATAATATTATTATTATTTGACCACCCCTTTGTTATCAGGCACAGAGATAATTTGTTTTAAGTTGCTCTTGTTCAAAAACAAAGAAAACACTTAGATTGTTTGAAAGAAGCATGTAAGCAGTTATATAAAGTTTGTCACAGTATTATCAGAGCCTTGCAACTGTCTCCAATGGCAGTGGCAGTTTCCTTTGTTTTATTTTGTGGTCTCTGTGGCAGCTGAAATAGTGAGTTTTGCTTTCTGCAAACTACAACAAACAACACTTCAAAGAAACACATTTGATCTTTAAGTAGACTGTTTATAAAACTTCAATTTTACTTGATTAATGAGGCTTTTGTTTATATAACTCAGAGCTTTACCAAAATACCCTGGCATTTGAGCTGTTCATTGTAATTCCTGAGTTCATAGAAATTTCAGTCTGAAGTTTTAGAGGAGTTTCACTTCAGTTCTTTGATGTTTTTGAAACAGGGAATTTTTATGCTGTCATTGGAATTTAATTTTTAGGATTTTTGTTTTTTCAAAGGTCAATGTGGTTACTGTGTTCTGTTGATCTTCAATTAAGGCATTGACCTTTTTTGTTTTCCATTTCTTTAGCATGTAGTTCTTGACTATAAAATCTTTTAGGGGCCGGGGGAAAAAAATCTAAGATTTTTTTTGAGTTCAGGCTTCATTGGTATTTATATGTGATGTGGTCAGGATTTTTTTTTTTTTTTTGTCTTTTGATCTTGCTATTTAGGAGGGTGTAGTGTTGTGTGTGTGTGTGTGTGTGTGTGTGTGTGCGTGTGTATGTGTGTGTGTATAAATTCAACTATAAGAATTGGTATTGTCTTGTTAGCTTAAACCTTTTTCTTTACAAGAAATCTACAGAATGACTACTTCCATATTTCACCATTTCCTGAGCTCTTTTTGTCCTTTGCCATTTTCAGGAAGCCATTGTGTTGACTGAATACACATAAAGACCCACTTGCGTGCATGCGCAATCACACACACACACTCCCCAGACAGACACACACACACACTCCCCAGACAGACAGACAGACAGACAGACAGACAGACAGACACACACACACACACACACACACACTCCCCAGACACACACACACACACACACACACACACACACACACACACACACACACACACACACTCCCCAGAAGATTTTTTAAGTTTGTTGGCAATTCTCAGAGGTTTCAGAATTTTTAAAATGTTGTTACTTTATAACCTCATGGTTGCTATCACTGTTTAACATTGTCAGTAAAATAAGAATTGTCTAGAGGCTCTGACCAGCCATGTACCTCTGATTTGGAGACTAGTCAAACGTACGTAGCAGTTCTTGAGAGCGTCTTAGAAACTGTTTAAACTCCCAGTTGCCAAATTATTTCTTACTTTGCTCATGCTAAATATTCACTTTCCATTCTCTGTTTCTGTGATCCTGTAGATTTTAGATGTTTTGACAGTTTCCAAAATCTTGCTAATAGAGAGCAAGGATCCTGTGGCTCCCAGCCACCAGTGCAGTTCATGTTTCAGTACATTGTTGACCTTATTTTCCTGAAGAGATAGCTGTCCTTTCAGTTCATGAATTCTCGAGTTAAATGATTCTAAAGGTTTTATCTACTGATTGAACCTACTCTCCAACATTTCATCCATATAACATTTCTTTCATTTTCTGTTTAAATTTTCCAACCATGAGAAATTTAGGACTACATATGATAGTCTAAACGTTGTAGGGTAACTTCTGTTGTCAGAGAATGTCTGTACATGTTGAATCTAAAGTCAAAATCCTGGCAGCTCTTCTTCTGATTGTGATTTTGCTCCTCAGGTGACCCAGAACAAGTTTAATCATCCCACAGGACAATCCTTCACTGTCTTCAACTAGGCTTTTAGAGCCGGGTACTGGTGGCTCGTGTCTGTAATTCTAGCTTCTCAGGAGACTGAGATCTGAGGATCCCAGTTGGAAGCCAGCCCAGGCAGACTAATCTGAGAGATTCTTACTTATGAGTAAGAGATTGAGTCGAGCCCCAGTACCACCCCACACACGAGACTCTTAAAGTTAGGTATGGGGGTATATCTTCTTCAGAGGCTGAGGCAGAAGGACCAGCCCTTGCTACATAGTAAGACTTAGGGAAAAATGAGAGCTTGCTTTTGTTGTTTACCAGTGAAAACTGTAGAGAAATTCTTAGGATGTTGGTTAATTGTAAAATAAGTGATGTATTTTATGTTTTAGTTGCTGGGAAGTAAAATGGTATTTTGTGTTGTATTTCTTCATTGACAGGCAGCTGAAAAAGTTGGACGAAGATAGTTTAACCAAACAACCAGAAGAAGTGTTTGATGTTTTAGAGAAACTTGGAGAAGGGTAAGTCTGGAGAAAATAAAGGTAGCTGAGAGGGTCTTTTTCCTGCCCCTACTACTTGAAGGATGTGAATTTTCTATTGGTATCAGTTCTGAAGCTTGAGTAAAAGAAAGAGTAATATTCATATAAACCTGGCTGTAGGTAGAGTAGGAGGTAAATTTGTTGCTTTAAATCCTTTCACTACTTAGCCTTCATCACTATTCTAAACAAATTTAGTGTGACTCTGAGGCATTAACACCAAGGGCACCTATTGTTTCCTCTCCCATTGAATCTATGGTATGTATGATTTTATGTGGTTATCAGATAATACTAATTAGGTTATAATTAATTGCATTTTTAGTAATCAAACATAGGTACTTTATTTGCTGCTCATAGCTTCTGATTGATATGCAGTCACTGTGGTCTCATTAAAAAGCAATGTAATTCAACATTTTAGTTATTGAAGTTTTATGGAATATAATAAATAAGTCAAAGACTTGCTATCCTTTTCAGGTTCCTAGGAGATCCAGAACTTTCTGTTGGGAATCTAGTTTGAGTCTCTTAAAGTACAGACTTGGAAAGAGTGAATGAAATAGGGCACAAATGATATTTACTGGCAGATGTGCTATCATTGACTTCCACAGTAGGGATTATATTAATAATTCCTCACATACCTTTTCTTTACATATCTTCTGCATTTCGTTATATATATTGATTCCTTCTTTTGTAACATTAAATTATTAGGAATATCTTTTCTTAAGTTTTTGTTGTTAACTTTTGAATAGTAGTAAATCCACATTTCAGAGGTAGTTGATGTGCACGTATATAAGGATGTACTCATATATATATATGAGTTTTTCATCCCTCAAGAGTACTTCTTAGAGCCGGGTGCTGGCGGCTCATGCCTGTAAGCAGAGCTACTCAGGAGGCTGAAATTTGAGGATCAGGGTTTCAAGCCTGCCTGGACAGGAAAGTCTGTGAGACTCTTACCTCCAATTAACCAATAAAAAAACTGGGAATAATGCTGTGGCTCAAGTGGTAGAGTGCTAGCCTTGAGCAAAAGAGCTCAGGGACAGGACCCAGGACCCAGGTTCAAGCCCCACTGTGCTAAAAACAAACAGATAAACAAAAAACAACAACAAAGAAGAGTACTTTATATTCAAGAGAACATACTTTTTTTTTAATACTAAATACCATGATTGTATTTGTTTGCCCTTCCTCCACCCTCCCTTTCTGCACCCCCATCTTTGCCCTCCCAAAAAGAAAAAAACAAACCATAAAGCTAAAACAGTACCACCCGCAGCAATAACAAGAACTACAAAAAACCCATCCATGTTTCCATTTCCTGGAATTCATTTTGATAAATGGTATTTTAAATGATCAGAGGAGTTACATCTTTAGAGTCCTCCCCTAAGGGTATCCTCCTTTAGTATGTTTGTTGATGAATGCTTAAGAGTCCGGTGTAGATTATCAAGTCCAGTTTTATTTTAGATCTAACTTCCACATCAAGAGAAAAAATGCACCACATGTCTGTCTGAGCCTTGGCTTACCTCACTTAGCATGATTTGTTTCCTGAAAATGACATAATCTTATTCTTTCTAATGAATGAGCAAAATTCTGTTGTGTATATATTTAATTGATCTACTCATCTGTTGTAGGGCATCTGGGCTGTTTCTATAACTTGGTTACTGTGAATAATGGAGCAGTGAACATAGATGTGCCAGTGTCTTTATGGTGTCCTGACTTGTAATGATCTGGGTAGATGCCCAGGAGTGGTATGGCTTGGTCATAGGGAAGTTCTATGTTTAGTTTAGTTTTTTTTTTTTTTTGGTCTGGTCTTGGGGCCTAAACTCTGGGCCTGGACGCTGTCCCTCAGCTCTTCAGCTCAAGGCTAGTGCTGTACCACTTGAGCCACAGCACCTCTTTTGGTTTTTTTCTTTTTTGCTTATGTGGTACTGAGGAATCGAACCCAGGGCCTCATGTATGCAAGGCAAGCGCTCTACCACTGAGCCACCTTCCCAGCCCCATGTTTAGTTTTTTGAAGAACCTCCAAACAGCCTTCCAGAGTGGTTGTACAACCACTAGTTTACATTCCCAACCAACAGGAGAACATACTAACTTTTAAAAATGACTAATGTTTATAATGAGTTTGTGCTCTTTAAAATCAGTTTATAGATGATTAGATTAGATTGTCTTGGGGGCTAGTGTAATTTCTGCCTACATTCTGCAGTAACGTCAAGTTCTATCTTAGATTCATGGATTATTACTTCCTTTTTAAAAAAAAATTAGTCTTCAGTTTTCTGTAAATTGGGAAAATCTTGTGTGAAGTCCAGTGAGAAATCAAGCGGAGAATGGGAGAGAATACCAGCTATATTGCCACAAGACAAGTCCAGGATGACTGAAGACTGCCAGTTGGTTGTCATTGTTAAAGGTATGGGGTGGTGACGGTCACCGCCTCTTGCTATGTTCAGCTTTAGCTTGGCATCCTTGCTATTTTCCTCAACACACTGTGTCCATGGCCTTAATCCAATAATGCTCATAGGTTAATACTTACAATAAGAAAACTAGTAAATATAATTGTTTATTATAAACATTTATGTTTAGTGTAATTAAATTATTTTTTCCTTTTTTTTCTTCCTGGTTGGTTATGGGGCTTGAACTCAGGGTCTAGGTTCTGTCCTTGAGCTCTTCTGCTCAAGGCTAATGCTCTACCACTTTGAGCCACAGCACCATTTCTGATTTTCTGATGGTTAATTGGAGCTAAGAGTCTCACAGACTTTCTTGCCTGGGCTGAATTTGAACCACGATCCTCGGAGGATTATAGGCATGAACCACCAGTGTCCAGCTTTTTTTTTTTTTTTTTTTTTGGCCAGTCCTGGTGCTTGAACTCTGGGCCTGGGTACTGTCCCTGAGCTTCTTAAGCTCAAAGCTAACACTCTCCCACTTGACAGCACTACTTCTAGCTTTTTCTGTTTATGTGGTACTTCATGCATGTTAGGCAAATACTCTACCACTAAGCCATATTCCCAGCCCTATTTTTTCCTTTTTTTTTGGGGGTGGGGGGAATTGGTCATGGGATTTGAACTCTGGGCCTGGGTGCTGTCCCTCAGCTCTTCAGCTCAAGGTGAGTGCTCTACCACTTGAATCACAGTGCCACTTGAACCACAGTGCCACTTCTGATTTTCTGGTGGTTTATTGGAGATAGGAGTCTCATGGACTTTCCTTCCTGGGCTGGCTTTGAACCATGATCCTAAGATCTCAGCTTCTTATGTAGCTAGGATTACAGGCGTGAGCCACCAGCGCCCAGCTTTTTTCCATTTTTTAATGACAGTATGTTACTATAGTAAGATCATAGACTCTGAAACACTTAGACCTGGTTTGAAAGCCTTCTCCACATTTATTAGTCATCTAAACAAGTTAGCTTGAGCTTAGTATTTTATAACCTCATAACCTTCTATAAAATGAAGGTAGTAGTAATCTCTACTTCATAGGGTTATGGCAAGTAGATGAAATAATAAAGTACTAAGTACAGTGTTTTTCACATGGTAAGTGCTCAGTTAGTTGTTAGGATATTTTATTATTTGTTTACTTGTCAGCTTTAGGGTGTTAATTGAGGGCCTAGTGTTTGCTTAGCTTGCTTGCCCAATGGTACTTTGTTATTTGAGCCGCACCTCCAGCCAGGCTTTTGTGGGTTATTTTAGATATAAGACTTTCCTGGACTTGATTGCACAGGCTGGCTTTAAGCCATAATTTGAACCATGATCCTTCAGATCTCAGCATCCTGGGCAGCTTGGATTATATGCATGAGCCACCAACACCTACCTCTCTCTCCATCCATCCCTCTCTTCCCCCTTTCTCTCTCTCTCTTTTCCTTCCTTCCTTCCTTCCTTCCTTCCTTCCTTCCTTCCTTCCTTCCTTCCTTCCTTCCTTCTTTCCTCCCTCCCTCCCTCCCTCCCTCCCTCCCTCCCTCCCCCTCTCTCCCTCTCTCACTCTGTCTCTCCCTCCCTCTCTCTCTTCTCTCTCTTTCTTTCTTTTCTTTCTCTTTCTCTCTCTCCCTCCCTCCCTCCCCCTCCCTCCCTCCCTCCCTCCCTTCTTTCTTTCTTTCTTTCTTTCTTGTACTGGGGCTTAAACTCGGGGCCTGGATACTGTCTCTCAGCTTTTTTGCTCTAAACTTAACTATGGCTCCTCTTCCAGCTTTTTGGTGGAGATAAGACTCTTATGGACTTTCCTAATTGGGCTGGCTTTGAACAGGAATCCTCAGATCTCCTGGGTAGCTAGGAGTACAGGAGTGAGCCACTGGCACCCAGCATTATTTATGTTTACTTATTTATTTAGTGCCAGTTCTGGTGCTTGAACTCTGTACCTTTTGCTCTTACTGGGCTTTTTATTTCTCACAGCTGGTGCTTTACCACTTGAACCACACCTCCAGTTCCAGGTTTTTATTGGTTAAAAAGAGATGAGAGCCTTACAGATTTCCCCCCCACCCTGCTGTGGGCTGGCTTTGAACCACCACACTCAGATCTCAGCCTGATGAGTAACTAGAATTATAGGTGTACCCAGCTTATTTTATTTTTGAGTGTTTCAACTAAAGAATTTTTTTAGACCTCATCACATCAAATCTAAGCTAAAGCTTAAGTCTTAAAGTATGTTTAAATGTTCATATAGGTTACCGTATTTGAGTTTATTGGGTTTGAAGAGTGTCAAAAGAAACTATAGACAGAATATGCCGGAATATAATGTAAAAGATAAAGCAAACTAAGCCAATGAAATTCTTTCTTTCTTTCTTGTTTGTTTGTTTTTGTTGTTGGTCATCGGCTTGAACCCTAGGCCTGAGCACTGTCCTGAGCAATTTAGCTCAAGGCAAGTTCTCTACCAGTTGAGCCACAGCGTCACTTCTGGTTTTCTGGTGGTTTATTGGAGATAAGAGTCTCACGAACTTTCCTGCTCGGCTGGCTTTGAACCATGATCCTCAGATCTCTGCCTCCTGAGAAGCTAGGATTATAGGCATGAGCCATCGGCACCCA